CGAGTGTATGCTAAATAATAGACCTCTAACATACGAGAGCAACGAGCTGGGTGAACCTTCACAGTTTTTATTGCCAGGACGTGGTACATTTAACTTTCCCGAGCATTTCTTGGAAATTTTTAATAAGGTATCCGACGAAGAGACTTTAACTAGGAGAAGCTTTACCAACTAAACTCTAAAACATTAATCAAGTGGAAAGAGCAATACTCTACTACATCTTAGAAATGCGCATAACTTTGCTAATCCTAAAACTGAGCGGAACATTAAGTCTGGAGACGTTGTGTTGGTAGAAGGACCAAAATAATGCAAACTACTTTAGGACATGGGTGTAATTGAAAACTTGATTATAGGAAGAGATGGACATGTTCGAGCGTGCCCGTTCGCACTCCCAAAGGACAATTCAGAAGATCGATCCAAATGTTATATCCTTTCGAAATTTAGTTTAGAACTTTTGATATTATTGAGTTTTGTATTATATTATTCATTATTATGTTTATTTGTGGCTTTGATATATACTAGTATAGACTATTCTTTTTATTATTCATTTGTATATGTCGTACATTTAGTATTAATCCATTATTAATTAATGTGATATTGTTATGTAAGTAAGTTTTGTGTACTCTTATTAAAGAGTACAGGTGGGGAGTGATGTAGAAAAAGAGATAGAGGCGCTGCGCCTCCTGTATGTTTAAAAATTAAGAGTTTTCAGCAGGAGGGTTGAGAGGTCGATGACTGTATAATTTGTAATAGTCTTCTCTTCATAAATAGATTTAGTTAAAGGAAAGTGTCTTTGTTTGGCCAATAGAACACAAGAACCACCGATAATAGAAGATGTAAGTAAGTTATTACAAAAGAAATTTTAGTTTGACCTCTTGCCCAACAATCTAGTGAAACAAATGCACAACTACGTGTAATTAAATCTTTATATATATATATATATATATACAAGTAGTATTATATATATATATATATACAGTCGTGTGAAAAAGTTTTAAGACAACACATAGAAAAACTAGATTTATTCGAATTCCGCCACAAAAACATATGTTATAAATGAACAAAATAGACAGTATTTTGTCGGACCTCCTTTATTTTTTATGACTGCTGCAATCTTATGCTATGCTGCAATCTATGCTATGAACAAGAGAGTGGCAGTAAGCTTGAGAAATCTTTATACACCACACATGCTTTATTGCTTCAACAAGTTCTGTAGCCCTGGATGGTAGCTTCTCCGCGACTTTATTTTTCACAATACACCACAGATTTCCTATTGGATTCAAATCTGGTGTGTGTGTGTGTGTGATTATGGCAAAGCCTCGAGGGCTATCTGCCTAAGGGGAGGGATGCCTTCGTGGAGGACTTTCTTAGGGAAAGTGGCTCGTATACACGTTACACATGGGGAAAACCACGAAAACGCCCATGCAGCCAGCCCATTCGCGGGATTCGAACCTCGGACCGAACTACCAGTGTTCAGCGACTTTACCGCTCGGCCGCTGATTCAAATCTGGGCTGTTACCTGGCCAATCAAGCACTTAAATCTGAGTAGCCGTCGGATAGTCCTTAATGATCCTTGCCCTGTGACACGGAGCCCCAGCATACATGAAAATTGAGCATCTGTGAACATCTGTGTGAAGATTCAACTTGTGACGTAACAAATTAAGGTACCGACTGCCGTTTATCGTGTATTTAGGTGGCAGGAAGTATAGAGCAGCAGTACCAGACGCAGACAATGCATCCCATATCATCTAGCTTGGAGGGTGTTTCACTGTTGCAATCGTATATTTGTCATCATATCTTTTTCCAAACGGGCGGAGAATACTCTTATGACATGCAGAAAATTGCTGCACACTTGACTCATCGGAGAATAACACTGTACTCTACTGTTGTTTGGTTCAATTTTGATATTATCTGGCGAAAGTCAGTCATTTCGTTTTCATGTTTTGAGTAAGTCGAGGTTTCCTTGCAGATTTATAGAAAAATAAACCATAATCTTTAGTGAAACGGCTTGAAATAGTACTCGAACTGACGCTAGTACCCTTTGCAACCAGAGCAGTTCTACGTGCGCAATTTTTTCTTGGACGACCGCTTCTCTTAAGATCCGTATAATTTCCCGAAATTTTAAATTTACTGATAGATTGATGCACACCTGTCTTCCTGATATTTACCTTCAAAGTTCAGAAAAGGCAACTTTATACAGATCTACTATTTTTGCCCGTTTTTCAACAATAAGCGACGGTTTTTTACCCATTACAACAATTATACAACGGCACTCTGGACGCAAAATCCAATAACGAACTATTGATAAACGAGATAGGCATGTCATATTTATAGCAGTAGAAAGCGTCTGATGCAATCAACGCATGAGATGATGCAATCATGAGCGAAAATGATGCAATCTATTAAAATACAGAAAAACGGCTACTGGTCTTAAACTTTTGTACGTGACTGTACATATATATAGTATACACATACACACACACGCTATATATATAGTATTAGTGGTTAGCGCTGACGTACAGAAAGGAGGATTCTGCATATAGATTCTGTTAGCGTATATTATTTTGTTTTCCCCATGTTTTGTTTCCCGTTACTTTTGTTTTTCCATTTATAAAATGTATTTTTAGAAGAATAACTCAGAATGAGTGGAAACAGTAATTTTAAATTAAAAAAACCTCACTTTTCTTGTATTTTTATTATTTACATTCTAAAATTGTTAACAAAAAAATCTATTCTTCGATGAGTCGACGGCTGCATGCTTTTCTTTTCTGAGTATATGCTGGAATATCCATGACTCACAACAGAAGGCAAAATAGAGAGAGAAAATTAAGAATATTAATAGAGCATCCTTTTTGATTTTATATTTAAGAACATTTTAAGGATTTATTTAGAACATTTTAAGGAAAGTAATTAAAGTTTACTCATTGTCTCGTTGCCAAAATATTTCATATTTTATTAATATAAATAAATTTGTGTTTTAAACACAATAAATCAACCGAAAGAAAATTTTACTTATTTCGAAATTTTCTGATCTTATCATATCTTTAATTAAAGCATTTTGTGAATTACTTATTTTCTGGCAAAAATGAAAAGGAAAAGAAGCGAAGTAGTATTTGTAGATTACACGTAAAGCTAATGAATCGGAAACATATATGTGAGATTTATTTAATTTGTTTAACCTGTTATTTTATGTTTGGAATCTTTACTGTCACTTCTGTCTTTCTGTTTTCGCGCCAGAATGCAAGTTAGTTCGTGTGTATGTAAGTGAAGGTTTGAGTGTGTTTAGTCAGAGCATGTTCTCTCTCTTGAAGGCTACGTTAATAAGTTTGATATTCTGAGATAAGAGTTCTTGTCTTCGTCCTTGCATTATATTTGCCGATAGTAAAGTTACGCCGTTGAAGTTCGAAAAAATTTCGAGATAGATTATTCTGCGTCACCTTTGGCTATTAATAGTTAAGTTAAACCACTAGGTCTTCTTCTGTTATTTTAAAATAAAAGTTCTTATACACTTTTCCCAAGTTTCTGTTGTAATTTCTCACATAACGATAAATTGCGTTTCGTTTATAAAGGTTTGATGACAGTTTACAGTAGCGAAAGGTTTCACACCTTGCATATAAATACATAAATATATTTATAAATTTCCTCGTTTTGGAACTTCTTTCTTTCTTTTATTTTCTCTTTTCTTTCTTTCTTTCTTTTTCCTTTTTTTTACCCTATCGTTTGGTTAAAATTGAAATTCCTACATTGTGGTTCTAATATTCGCCAAGTTAGAGACAGCAGATTTTTTACTTTCTGCTAGTTTCTTCTCTTTTTTCAGTCATGCACAATGAAAGCACTTCAAACTGAAACGCAACAATTTTGGTCTTAAAACCGTTTCTCTGGAATAAAAAATCCGATGTGGACACCCTCTGATGTAATAGACTTGTCTCATGTAATAAACCGTACGAGTACACATGACGTCCTCGTACGGTCTATTAAATTATGCACATTTTTGGCAAGAGGGTGGGTGTCTATCTATCTACATATATTTGGTGCAGGCGAATGTAATAAAAAAGAGAGGTGCACAAATCCATTTTACAATCCGTTATGGGGGAGAAAAAAAAAAAAAAAAAAAAGAGTCCTTTATTCTGTCCGTACCATACAGATGTCACGCAAAACAATCGTCCACGTGGGTTCGAGAGTGGTCAAAATGGATATTTTCGTTGAAATATGATATCAAAAATTTATCGCGATTACAATACTTCCTTTACTTTTTTACAAGAAAGTAAAAAGAGTATTTTGGAAGTTGTATGTTTCTTTAGTCAATAGCTGGCAAAGGAACAAAAATGCTGTGTTAACAAATAAAATAAACTGCAGGAAAAATAAATAATTTTCACTGTATTGAAAAAAGGAGCATTTTAAGCGCAATTCTGCAATACATACTTACGAACACATAAGCTAAATAAAATATTAAAGAAATATAAATAATTCATTTTAAATATGATGTAAAATTTTAAATGAACATCAAAAAATGCTGAACACTGTGAGTTATTACGATTTATGAACACAAAAGTATATAAGGATATCTTTAAAGTTCTGGGAATTTCTTCTCAGTTCTTCTCAGAAGAAATCTCAGGATAATTTTGCTTAATTTTGCTTTTATTTACCTATTTGTATAAAATGCAAGTTTTATGACACTTAGTGTAATTCAAAGACATGCAATAAATTGGTATTTGATTTAAGTAACCAAAAATACGATAATGATATATTGTGCGATCTACCGGTTTTCGTTATTTATTTATATCTTAGATGTTGTATTAAAACCGACTGTTTTTAACGATTTCCTTTTCCCGCCATTTTACGGCGCATTCGAATTTAAAAATAGCGTTTTAGTGGCGCCACGTAAGAAATAGATAACTAATTAAAAGCAGTAGATCGCATACCACATCATTACCAAAAATAATTGAGCATTAACTTTTTTTTAATATTAGTAGAAAATAAATATACTGTTTCAGATTACTAACCCTCGTCCAGATGTAATCCTTTCAGGCTAGGACCTTGGCATACGGTAGCAGCTGGAAATACATAACAAAAAGCTAATTAAAAATCCTCATAATTTATTTTTATAACATAATAAATCTTCATAATTTTTTTCTTCATAATTCCTATTTTTCTTTTTTATATAGAATATTAGAACAGAACGGAAAACATATTTTGTTCAAGATATATAACACGTGACGATTTTTTAGTTTAGAATTTTATCCGTCCTCTCACGAAATTTGATATGATGGTTATAAACACCAAACAAGATGAATTAACTGAAGTTTCCTGAAAGCACTGATAATATATTTTCCTGAAAATAATTGAAATATGCTAGTATTTATTATAACATCTAAAGTTACATTAACTGTTTTAGAACTGAAAACGGAACAAATAAAATTATACTCTAATGCAGGGTTTCTTAAACTTTTTTCAGTCGCGATCCCCTTTTGTCTTTAAGATTTTTTCGCAACACCCAGGACCCCATGATATTTGCGAAAATTTTGTGAGACCCTCTTTGTGGGACATTTGCCCATTGCGCAAATCCGACACACGCGTGTGTAAAACTCTTAATTTTTTCACTTGTACTGTAATATACATTGCAATTTTAGGTCATTAACTTTTATATCTAATTTTAAGACAAAGAAGAATGGGAAAATTTTAAATAAGTAACAGACGAAATGACAGCTTCATGTTCAAAGTAAGTAAAATGAATGTTTCTATTATAAAAAGAATGCGTGAAAACGTTTCCCCCCCCCCCCCTTTTTTTTTTTTTTTTTTTTTGTCTGTGTTGTCTTATCTTTATCTTTCATATACATTGTGTAAAATATTTGGTAATTGTAAAATTATTATAAGCTAAAAAAATATCAAAACTGCTAAATTTTTTGGCGACCCCTAGCTGTAGGTCCCGCGACCTTCCTGGGCATCGCGACCCACAATTTAAGAAACGCTGCTCTAATGCAAACTATTGGATTTGCTTTTAGATAAACTGCTTACTGTATTCACAGATACTTTAAATTCTAAAGAATATCTTTTTGTGAAACGACCAACGGATATAGCATTTCCTAAAACTTTTGATTAGGAGAATTAAAGACTTTTTTCCCCCAATTTACGAATAGGAACTTTCGTTTATTTAAAGCATATTGACAATCACATTAGGTGTAGGAAAAGGAACATGTAAAATAACAATCATCTCATATGCATGGTTATGACCCAAATAAATAAAGTAGAAAGTTATAAAATCAAAATACTGTAGTTTGTAACTGAATGGTGGCTATAATACTATTACTACTTAGTTTAAATATCCATCTACAGCTTACGTCATTATCAAACTACTGCACATGTATGATTATGACGAAATAAAATATCCCCCAAAAAGTTGATTAAATGTTATAAAATGAATACAGAGTTGTAATTATTTTCTGCGAAAGTCTATCAAAGAATCTAAGCATAGCAACGCTTTGAAACCTCTTAATATAATGAGCAGAATAATTATTAATCACAAAGAAAAGAGAGCAGGAGAAAAAAGTTGCTCGCTTTTCCTTGGTATAGTTCAGGCATAGAAATGTAAAAGCAATTGGCATGCGTTTTTCAGAAAAACTCGTCTTTGTATCAAAATACGTATCTTATAAGAATATTGCATTTATGTATTCATGAGCATGATATATTCAAGACATGAACCTAATACATGAACGTATTCGACACATAAAAAATATAAGTTGAATTTTATCGGTAAACTGACTACTAGAATGAAAGCTAAAGAATTTCTTCTTACCTTAATTTACTTTAAAAATAGTGCAGATTTATTAATAGCATGCAGGTATTTAAATGCTAATTTTTTTAGGGGGGAGGGCACCATGATTATATAAAGCTCAAAATTAAACATCGTACAATAATACGACCAAAATAAGTCTTCGCTTAAGATGTTATGCAAATGAAAGTAGGAAACCTTTATCGGGACAGGACCCCCCCCTCGAAAAAAAAATTCTCTTAATTTCACCATTACTTTTTATTCATACTTCACAAACAAATATATACTATCAAGGATTGTAATGCATTTTAATAACCTTAAAATACATGATAATCTTCCACAAGATGGGCGTAAAATAATGATAATACTCACGTATTTTAAATTTTAACTAGCATCACTGAAACAAATAATAAATTAAATATTATCTGAATTGTCGTATTTCCTTGCATATCCCCTCCCGCCTGTTTTTCTCATTAGCGCTAACGTCTGAAAATTTTAAGAATTTTCGCGTAATTTTTCCTTCTATCAGTGCGTTCAGAGAGCGAGTTTTTCTAAATTTTAAAATTGATTCGTCCACACAATGATTGTTTTCCTCTTACTAACAAAAAGAAAACTTCGCAACTTATCTGCTGAATTCAAGCCGAACTTCTCTCTTCTAACGATTGATATTTAGGCCAGCCTAATACAAGAACCAACCCATCACAGTGAAGCAAACACAAACTGACATTCAGTCTACGATTTTGCTGAGTCAGCTGTACAAACATATTCTCTAATTATGAATAATTTAAGGCCTCAGAAGTTTCAGAGACAACATTAAGAATGAACTAGATTCAGGTTACAGGGAAGTAGAAATGAAAATATCTTATTAGATATCGTAATATTAATATTACTGTGTATTCTTACTAGAATGTGGGTTTCTTTAAAGAGATAATATTTTGATGGTTACGTGTAGTTTATCCATGGCTACTTTTTATTAGTTGCGTTCTTACTGTGACTGCTTCCTTCGGAAATTAAATTACTCGCATAATTTTCTCATCTCGATTTTTGAACGATGAAATTAGTAAAAAAAGGGGGATATTAGTTAAATACGGTATATCTCCTACCACTGGAGCATCGTTTTTAATATAAATATTTGTCACTCATAAAAAGAACAATCAAATGGAGTAAAAGATCGTGTATTACCTGGGGCACTCGGAAAAATCTCAAAGAAAGCTCGGAAGAATTGAAGAACAGGACCACCGGAGGATGGCTTCTCATCACTTTCTGTGAAAACCATACATACGAAAATTCATAATTATAAGGAACATTTTATGCAAACTGAAATACATTTAAGCAAAAAACAATGATTGGCATTACTGTAATTAAACTATTATTTTAAAGGAATTCCTTGGTGATGAATGAAGTTGTTAGAAAGACGTAAGAAATCATTCAGAGCAAAAAGTATTAAAATCATTTTAATAGAAACGCGATGAGTAGAACGACTATATTTATAATATGCAAATTTAATTGGATGCAGCGCAGTATGTAACATTTTATCAATAAAGCAAGTAAACCAAAATCTTTTAAGCTTTTTTAAACAAATGAGCCAAATTTGAGTTATGTTAATGTTATTCTCAAGATTCTTAGAAATTAATTTTTCTCTGTGCACTAATATTTTTGAACTTTTGATTATGCATGGGTTGTTAATGAGATATGTCGCAAAGAAGTATTAGTATAATAATATAGTCATGTATTTTTTTCATTTAACTTAAAGGAACTATACACGTAGAAAACTGAGTTTCACTTTTGAAACATACCGACAATTAATATGCATGAAAATATGCCGTTTTCTGAGTAACAAAGCTTTGACGTATAACTTTGTATATAAGAACTTAAGCTATAATATTTTAACCATCAACAATTTTGCGCTATTGCCAGCACTTTCAAAGATATGAGAAACCTTACGTACAAAAAGTTAGTGATGCGTTCCTCTAAGAAGATACAAAAGAGATATTAAAGTCCTTGCCTTGGTTATCAGACTTGTAGTCATACGGGTAAAGAACGAATATGAGGAAGAATGTACTAGGGTGCAAATGCGAAGAATACTTCAAAATTAAAAATATTGATGAACTGATGTAAATAAGTGAATATATACAGTTATGCTCAAAAATATTTTACCTGTTGGCTGATCATATGTAGGAGTTGGGTAGGGTAAGATCTGAGTATAAAAAAGTTACGAGCTCGTTATAAGAATCACTTTTCCTACAGCTGCTGCTTATCTTGAAGAATAAAATTTAGTGTATGATTTTAAAAAAAAACTGACAAAAAGTAATATTTATTCATAAAAATGAATTTAAGAAATTTGTTTCATTAGGTTTCTATAAATTTGTATGCAATAAAGACTGTAAAGTTAAAAATAAAATTAATTATTTCTATTGTTACTTCAAATATTTTATCCTGGCGTTTATTTTTAAATATGATATATAAAAATAATCGTAGACATAAAATGCCTGCGGACGGTAATTGCATTTTGTTCACTTTTACGTATTCAGAGCAATATAACCATTTTGTCCCTTGAACACTTATCAAAGCCTTCTAGAATTCAGAGCACAATAAATTATCTTTATTGCTATGTTCTAGTATTCTAGCATTATTTTATTTCACTTGGCATCAAAACACATTTACTTTTTAACGCGATATATAGCCATTTGTAATCCCTTGTTAGCAACTATCCAGCAAAGAAGTATCAAGTGTCATGGTCTGAAGGTATTTCTTGTTTACACTTTTAAACGTGACGTCGAAATCACATAGCAGTGAGTTTTTATTTAGAGATCGTAACTGTCCACACCAATAAAAGTATCAATAATGTTCAGAGAGTCCTCAATTTCTGAAATCATTTATTAGCAAAAATTCTAACATTTCTTTAAAGAAAAGGCTGCATATTTATAAAGTAATCATTCGAACGATATATTCATATACTTCATCTGCGTTGATCATCTTAAGCAATAGGAATCTAAATAAATTACTGTTTCTACAAAATAAATTTCTTTTGCTTATTACAAATATTTCTTATTTTATGTGCAACAAGGGCCTCCACAAGGACCTCAGTATCAAGAACACTTCACCACCACCAAGAACTAACTTCTTCCAACAAAATAATATTTTCTACAATAAAGCAGTCAGCTGCGAAAGAGTATCCTATAAAACACAACTATAGAATTTTCGAGGAAGATATGCCATGAATTATTGAACACTAAATAAACTACCTCTGCAGTGACTTCTGCTTGTTCCATTACTTTTTGTTGAGAGATGCATTACAGCTACGATTATTTGTTTCAGCCTGTAGTTAAGGGGCTAAAAGCGATGGACTGCAATGAAGAAGATCGTCAGGTGGGATTTCTTTCTTAAACTTTTTCATTTCGCAGGTTTTTATTTCTCCTCTCCGCGTTCTATCATCACAAGCTTTTATGAACCCATTTTTTACTCTTAATCAAAATGATTTTATTCTTGTTTTATATAGAGTTCGTTTTCCAATTTCTAATTTTAAAATGTAAACGTAAACTGTACATGTAACGTAGACGTAAACGTAAATGTAAACGTAAACTGTACATACTAAACAGTAACCCGTCATACACTGATTTATTTGCACCTCGTGTACAAACTATTATTTATTTTTATTTTACTTTGCCACGTATTTTGTTCCCTATATAGTTCTGGAGAACCCCTCTAAAGTTTGAACCTCAGCCTAAATATTAAAGTGATGAATATACACTAACAGAGACCTATTATTAAATTATTTACATAATTTTATTATAGGTCATTTTATTATTTATTAATAATAAAACTAACGAATTATTACCAATTCTTTTGTCTGTTTAAAGTCGTCGCAGATATTTTATGTCAATAAGAACTAATGTAACTGAATCAACGTTTCTACTAAATTCGCATTTCCTTATCCTTCGTTTGTTTACAAATAATCTCAATAATCTATCTAATCACAATTTTGTTAAAAGCGTGCTTGATAAGTGACTGATAAAAAAAAAAAAAAAGTTGTATTACAAGGCAGAAATCTGTACAGCTGTATTAAATTTCGCTATTTGTGAAATAAGTTTATGCATAAAATAAAATGATAAAGTTAAAAAAAATTATCCTTATAATAATTAAAATACATTACCTTTAGGAGCATCTTTCTCATCCATGTAACATTGTAGGAGATACTTCACTTCCGGTCTCTAAAAACAATTACCATGTCTGTATCACAACGTTTAACATTTTAATAGCTATTTCACAATGCAATTTAATAACTTTGCATTCGATGAAGAAATATATTTGTTTCAGCCTGTATGTTTTCAAATATGCTATAATCGATATATTCAAATTTTTCACACATAAATGCAATAGCAGCGTTTCGCTTACATTTTTAACGTTTAGATACATCCTTTGTCAGAAGAGTTCCAGGCAAAGGTCTTAAAAAGTAGAAAATTTCATTTATGAAGTAATGATTCTAGCTGCTATCAGAGTTGTCCCCTCGGCTATCTGTTTGCAACTGTAAACGTTTCTGGAGGTCTTGGAAGCAAGCAGGAAAATCTTCAACTGCGAAACTACACGAAAATCTTCAATATTCTCAGTTGGCTCAGCCTGTTGGATGTCTGCAATAATCTTGACGAAGCTTTCCTTTCAGTTACCTTTTCACTCACGGAAAAAGAAAAAATCACAATAATGTGGGATCACGTCTGGCCTCTATCCAATAATTCAGCAGAAATTCTTCGCCTTTCCTCTTTCTATTCATCTATTAGTAAGGGACGATTCTTGGATTAGTGTCCGTTTCCCTACATTTTCGCGTAAAATCTTATGACACACATCACAATTCAACTTCAGTTCTTCTAATATCATATGCACAGTTATACGAGGGTCTTCTTGCAATAACTGCCTTACGCGCTCCACGTTTGCATCAGTATGAGCTATAGAGGGGCGAACAGCTCTGGGATCGTCTTGCACTGAATTTCTGCCTTCACGAAACATTTTATGCCACTCGAAAACATGACTTCTTGAAAGTGCCTCACCTGCATATGCTTACTTAATCATGTTCCACATTTCACTAAGGGTTTTTCCGAGCTTAACGCAAAACTTAATGTTCACTCTTTGCTCACAATCAACATCCATTGTGTCACCTTAACGAATGCAGCAACAATCCCAGCAGTGTGTTGCTAAGCACAACCGTATCACCTAGCAAGTTTGAGTGGAAACATGCCAAGGTCATGGCAAGTAAGATACATACTAGGTAACGCTCATATAGTAGGTAAGATAGAATTAAAACTTACTATTTACTTGCTTTAAGTATTTTTTTAAAATTTTTTATATAGGATTAAGTATTTTCTAGATATGAAATTATATTTTTAAGTATAATTTGTTTTTAAATTGGGAATGGTTCTTTTGTTTCTTATTAGTTTATATGGATTATGTATAGTCTTTTTAGTTCTATTTATTGATATGCATATTCGTGTCGGGGAGGTTTCTGTAGACAATGGTTTCTAAATACATTAGTTCTAGATATTTTTTATAAAAAATTAATTTTTTTAAATTTAATTTTTTAAAAAAAAGTTAATTTAATACTGACTTTACTTGCTTGTTTCTCAAAAGACTTCATTAGTATTTTCCTTTTAGAACTTTAATTCTTAAATGCTAATTTCTAAGGGTACCACTTTATTGGTATTTCTTTTTGGACATTCTCACTTTTACTTTTGGTTTTGACTTTCACCCTTGCCTACATGAATGACGAAACACGAATTGAATGATTGGAGAGTTAGTTTGGAGGCAACTTTCCCCTTGATAAGTCTGTCTCCTGCCTGCTCAACAGTCATTCACTTATGCATTTAAAAATTGTTTGGATTAATTTTTAATTTGCTAAATTAGTGAATTTATTTTATGGATTGGATTTTCACTTGATTTGCTTATGCTTTTGAATTTAAATGATATTGTAGATTGTTCAAGAATTAAATCTTTTATATGTTTTACACATTTTTTTAAATATTAAAAAAAATTTTTTTTGGCTTTAAATTTGCTTTTTTAATTTTGGCTTTAATTTGCTTTTTTACTTTTATACGTGTTTTTAAAATTTATTTAAATTTGTTTAAATTTAAATTTCATCCTTGCAGCAAAGGCGCAAAGAATTATTTAATTGAATTTGTATTTAAATTAAATTTAATTTAATTCAATTTATCTTATTAAACAATTTAATTAAATTCAATTTATTCTTATATATATATATTTAAATTAAACAAATTTAAATTCTTAACAAATACGTATAAAAGTAAAATATATACACTCATTGCCATAAAAATTTGCGCACCAAGAAAGAGTTTTTAAAATGAAACGAAATTTTACATATGTAAGTATTACTTTGATAAAAGTAAGTGATTAGAAAATCAAAGAAAAAGGATCATTTATTGCAAGAAAAAGTACACATGAACGGAAGTTTTAGTCCTCTGTTGGACCACCTCTAGCGCGAATGTACGATGCGATACGAGCGGGCATTGAGGCATACAAGTTCCGTATGGTGTTTTGAGACATCTCGTTCTACAGTTGCTGTAAACGCGTCTCAGGTTGTGCCAACTCGTAAGCTGCCCAACTAGCTGTCCCGAATGATCCCAGATATGCTCGATTGGTGACAAATCTGGGGATCGAGCAGGCCAGGTTGTAAGGATCTTAAGTTTTACTAACGTTTATTTTATTTTAAATCTTTACTATCACTTCTTATTTTCTACTTCCGGCCAGAATTATAAGCGTGAAGGAGTTTTATGCAAAGTTTGTCTGGCGAACGCCAAGTATTTAAGTGTGGCCTTTTTGCCAAGCAGAAGAGAGGAAGCCGTAGTGAGTTCGAAGCAGGCCGCTTACCTTAGAAGTTACGCAGTTGCTACTTTGCCTTCCAGGCCAGAGGTTTTAATCCTCTTGATAAATTAAACGTATTGTAGTGTTCACAGTCTCTGTGCTACATACGCTTCCTGTTATTATAAGGCCAATCTTATTCTAAAGTTAAATTAGAGTTTAGTTTTATTTTGATATCTTTTACGTTAGACCCCGAGTGGAGGGTCATTGTATTCCGAAGTACGGAAGTCATTGTATATAAGAAAAAATAAAGGGTTTTTGTATACCCTTCGTCTGTATCCTGTCTACTTACTACAATTAGTGAACATAGCTTTAGTAAGCTCTCTGTTCTAGTCAGGTCATTGTATGTTTCCGAAGAAGGTTAGAAGAAACATTGAACCTGATAGTGGCGCCCGACGAAGAATAACCATGGCCGAGTTTCAAGAAGAACCTGTGCTGCCTGCAGAAACAGCTCAGAATCCAGAAATGCCAGCTGCCGCCCTGGAAGGATTTGGGTATATCGTCCAGACCATGCGCGCTTCGATGAAAACCAGAAGCAACGTTTAATGGAAACTCACCGGTAACCAGTTTTTTGGAAAAATTGGATGACCACTTCATGCTCTACCCCGTGCACGAGTTTCAAAAAGTTACCTTAGCTACCAGCGCTTTGAGGGGCCAAGCGCTTAACTGGTTCAAATGTATCGGCAGAAGTCTCTTGGGTCAAGCAGGAAGTCCCACCTATACCTTACGAAAATTTCAAGACTGCCCTACTAAAAGCCTTCCCTGTTGTAAGGGATCGTGCGAAATTAGAAACGAACTTTTCAGTATATATCAACAAAGAATCGAAAACCTCTCGAGCTTTATTTTAAGAAAAATTCACGTTTTCAAGCTCTTGTATGGAAACCGTCCGGATCCTGAAATAATTCAAGTGATTTTGCCGAGGTTACTACCCCAAGTGCAAGACTTTATTGAATTAGAAATCCGACTACACTGGAAAAATTATTTGAGCTAGCAATCCAGTTTGAAAGTAGAAGAACGGCGGACGTCGAAAGAAGACGCCAATATCAACAGCGAAACCAATTTGGTACGCCAAGACTACAGCAAACTCAAGCACACGGCTACGGAGAAAAAAGCGAATCAGTGGGCAAGGAAACCCGAGCATTCAAAAACAGCCGGCGAACGTCGACAGTTCAATAGCAACCCAGGAAAAAAGTCTCAAGGCCAGTGGAGAAAAGAAGGAAAGCACCGAAAGAAAAAATAATTTAAACTAAAACGGATTTCTGCTGGACGAGAGGGTGCGGAAATCCGAAGGCCACGAAAACCCCTCTTCCTACAAGTTAAATACAGTAATGGTGAAAAATTTAACTCTTCCGAAGATTGAAGTCTTGGTAAATAATATCCCGGCCACCGCACTCCTGGATACCGGCGCGCAGTGTTCCTGTGTGGCAGAAGTCTTTTTTAGAAAGTATTTTCGCAAATATACCGCATATATAATGCGGATAATACGACAGTATTAGCGGCGCAAGGAGAACAATGTAAGTGCGTAGGTAAAGTACCTTTGTATATCCGTATCAAGGACGAACAAGTAAAGGTGATGTTTTTTATAGTAAGAATTCTGCAAGCACATTAATACTTAGGAATAGACTTTCTTTCAGACGGCACAAGCTAACACTGGATTTTAATGAAGCGTCCCTTAAGCTGACAATGAAACCAGTGCGTGTAGAAAAAGGTTGAACCGCCCTAAGGTTAAATCTCGACCACCTGCCTAATGACGAGCAAGATAGAAATCCGACAAGTGGTAAGTGAATTTGCTTCCTTATTTAGTGATATTCCAGGATTTACTCAGGTTACTAACCATAGTATTGACACCGGAGATGCATTGCCAGTTCGTCAAAAACCATACCGGTATGATAAGAATAAGGAAAAATTATAGAATGGCATATTACCGATATGCTACGTAAAAAGATCATAACGCCCATCTCAAGTAGTTATGCTAGTCCCGGTGGTTTTATGTAAGAAAAAATAATGATTATCCTTTGGAGCATCCAAAAAGGTGGAGATTCGCTATTGATTACCGTAAATTAAATTCCATAACGAAATATCCGGTATATCCGTTACCGATTATAGAAGAAATTTTAAGGAACATAAAATCAACCAAATTTATGACGACTTTAGACTTAACGAATGGTTATTTTCAAATAGGGGTCAGGCCTGAGGACGTGCCTAAGACTGCTTTTATAACCAAGTCTGGCACTTATGCATTTTTGCGTATGCCGTTTGGCCTTTCAGGCGCCCCAGCAACATTTCAGCGATGCATGGACATTGTGTTAAGACCTGTTCTCGGAAAGTCCACATTTATCTATTTAGA